GATCTCGCCATTAAAGGACGAGCAAGAAGACCCGACATACTAAATGCCTCCAGAAGTGTATTCAAAGCAGCGCCACTCCCTCCCGGCACATTCCCTGCTTTATAAGTCAAAGTTGTACTTCATTCTTCATCCAATCTGCACACAATCATTCTCAAATCAAATGCATAATGAATAGGCAAACAAAGGCGAAGAACTCAAGAGTTTCCAGAACTCATTGAAAATAAATTTATTTTCTTCTCAAGAACGGGCCACCGTCAAGAATTAAACATCAATAAGACGCTGCAAGCGTTTCTGGTCGACCTCATTCGTGGGGGTACCTTGCCCAAAGTAACATAGGTTAATATTAAAGCTCATCAATTATTTCTTTGGATACATATCTTTTGTAGTAAGATACTTCTCTTTATATACATACACATTATTCCCCATAAAAAAATGACTCTCAGTCCAGTACTTGGGGAACAACTCAACACATCTTCCCTCTACTCTGTCCATAATAGTGTAGACTGTAGCTTGACCTTTCGGGCGGGTATAGATGATCCGAAAGAATCGATCTTTGAAAGGCTACATCTCGGGAAGAGGTCCAAAGCCCAGGACGAACGACTCTAGGGAGAATAATCCTCTGTTACACCACTGAGTTGCAGGACTACGGGGACATCAAAAGAGATAAAAGAAAAGGGTTAGAGAACGCCTCCCCTTCAAGTATTCACACAAATACAAATAGACCATTACGTACGTCCTGCTTGCAGGATGAAGTTGTGAAGGAGCCATCACTAAATGCTTCAGGACTTTTATATCAAAGGAAGTGAAAGGAAGGCAAAGACGGAGAGTAAAGAAAGTGAATTCATAAAAGGAAATGACACAATTACCATACTTACTGGATATCGTCTCATCCTTGGTGGGAGTTAAGGCACCCCAATCAGATAATATGCCAAATTCAAGAAAGGCTCCATCAAAGCTGTCATTTCTAGCAAAAACAAAAACACTTGAAGAACAGACAGAAACCACCCAAAAGGCGGGTCATTCTTCTAGAATTTGTGTGCACTCTTCTGTAATTTTTTATCCATAATGCATTAACTTTTCAGATGTAGGAAGACAAGATGGCAAATAAAATGAGATAACCGCTAAAGTGAAAAATAACTCAAAAGAAAAGAAGTAACAATGACTCTTCAATAACGCTATATTCCAGCATGCAAAAGGAAGTATATTATATCAAGAAGGTCAAATCACTCGCACACAACACTCAAGTGTTTCAATTTCCAAGGGTCGTAACGATGAGGCCTTCGAAGAGTCATTTGAAGCATGGAACATTAAATGCGTAAATCTCCAAAAAACTGAAACATTTCTCTTTCTTCCTTCCAAAGGTGAACAAAGAAGTTGTCGACATTCGAGGGTGACATGACAAACCCTCGCCTTGTTGTGCAAAAGCAAGGGCCCGAGAGGCAACTGTTCTGGACTAATTATATAAACTTCGATCGACCACCATGAAAGGACTACAATCCTTTCAGAACCTTCTTAACACATATCATCCTAATGATTACAAAGAATTTCAATTGCAAGTGCATCTAACGACTCCTCGCAATTCACTCTTAACACATATCAAGTTTATTATTCTCTCTATATTATATATATATATATATATATATATATATATATATATATATATATATATATATATATATATATATATATATATATATATATATATATATATATATATATATATATATATATATATATATATATATATATATATATATATATATATATATATATATATATATATATATATATATATATATATATATATATATATATATATATATATATATATATATATATATATATATATATATATATATATATATATATATATATATATATATATATATATATATATATATATATATATATATATATATATATATATATATATATATATATATATATATATATATATAGAAAATGTCAAATTCATGCAACAAGTTTTAAATTCAATTTCACTTTACTCTTCTTTCTCACAATACTGATTTGAATGTAGAGTGTTAACCTTACAGGTTAACCTCTCCACTACATTTAAAACTTTGATCTGTCATCACCTACGCTCCTCAATCCATCTATGATTCCAAAGCGGAACCCAAGTGAATTGAACACTAAAGTAGTTTAACGTAAAAGCTTCATTTAAGCTTAAAAATAAAATCAATTATGAAAACAGTTTTATATTAAAAAAAACCAAATATGTCAAAATTAATTTTTCATATTCAAAATAAATTTCAAATGCTTCAAACGTAAATTCAAAAAATAAACCAAGAGGACTGTTATTATTTTGATTGATTGATGTCTTGCAATTTTAGTAATTGTTCTAGACTGGGCCCAGATTGGCCCAAGAACAAGGACAAGGCCCAATCCAAACAGTTCTACAAGGAGCGCGTCGATCAGAAGCTACAGTCGTGCCCGCCGCTGCCCGCGAACACGACGTTCTCGAGCACCCTCCTCGTAGGGCAGACTATGACCGTTACTCCATCACCTGAACTCCGAAAAGACCGCGTCTTCGTCCGTACGTACTTCTCGCTGAGCATCACCAGGAAGGGGACCACGTGCGGGTCTCCACTACACACGTAGAACCTGACAGTTCCTTTATTGGGTCAGTCCTGATCGACCCAATAAAGGGACCTTGGCCTCGCGCTGAGGGCTATAAATACCCTCTATTCCTAGAGGGTCAGGTATTCATTCTCTTATCCATATACACACTTTTTGCTTGCTCGTACTACCACTCAGTTTAGCATCGGAGTGCCTTGCAGGTACCCCCCATCTCGTTCAACTTCAGCTCGGAGCCAGTCGTGACGGTTCAAGTATGATCCGGTAAGATCAGTAATGCAATAAAAGTTGGCAAGATTTGTAAACTATTTTATAAATGCTTATAATATTGCCGACCAATTTCTCTATTCAATCATTTAAATATTAGAATTTGATAAATTTCTTGAAGTACATAAAACTTTACTCTATTTTTATTCAGGAAACCTAATCCCCATTAAAGGATTTGCGACTTTTACAACGATTCCATGACCTCCATGATTGTTTTATTTATTCCAAAAAAGAGAATGATGCCATAGATGCATTTTCTTTTAATTCATTCAAGTTGCTTTAATCGACCACCAAGTCTCCAAATTCCAACCAAACTCTGGTTTGAACTTTTAGCTAATCCCTTTTTTAATATTGTCGTTTACGAAATTCAGGTAGCAAAGCAGACAAAATATCTACAACCTTAAACAAGCCTTATCCACAAGAAAAGGTTCTTAAAAGGAAAATTTTACTAACTGCATAGATCAATCTTCTTCAAGCTCCTAGTTCTTTTGAGAAAGGGAAATAAAAGCCAGAAAAATGAATGGTCGCAAGTAAAACAATAATTCGCAAGGCGTACGTGTACATATTTTGTGTCTCTATATACAAATCCTCTTTCTACTCTCACTGTAACATTTCTATTATGAAAATGGAACGCCTCTGCCAAATAAGATAATACTTGAGAACAGTAAAATATAGCAAATACAACTCTAATGCCACAGAGCATGTTACAAATGGTAGTGGTTGCTGACTAAGTCTATCTTTTATTCAATGTTGCAATGGTTCTGAAAAAGAAGGTTAACCTTTTTAGGAGTACAAACTACACAGTATAATAGCACTTAACGATTTATGAATAAGAGAACTAACTAGTTTAGAATTTACTTTAGAATCAGCTATCTACCAGAAGAGACACGCCTTAATTGACAATCACCACCTACATGTATGTGACAGAAATTAGACATGTGTGCCAAGAAGTTTGTAAACCTGCGGACACGGTACATACTTCTGATTCAGACTGTAATTTAGCTCCATAGTATCTTCATGTACTTCCTCAAGAATCAGTTTGTGCAAAGTAGAGAGGATGATCGATGCAGCTACTTCCAAGACATTAAAGTTACAATCAACAATCAAACATTTGAATCTACAAAAAAGACATTACAATGAAAATGCATAAAATTACTATTTCTTCATAAAATTTAAAATTAAATCAATAAAAGACAAGAACTGAGAATGTAATCAATCTGTGTGGTGGTAATATAAATCCAAATAAAGAAATACAGTACATTCTACATCAAACAGCAAAGACCATCCTAAAAAATCAATAGAAACAAAGACCAAATCCGGTCATGCATCACAAATATAAATACAATTTTACCATATGAGGAAGACAATACAATTTTACCTTAAAGTGACCCACCAATTTGCATGAAATTAATCTCAATGTCATTTAGGACCTCAATGTATGCACTCAAAAACAGAACAAATAAACAAGTTCATTGCATTTCCTACTCCCCACTTAATTAACAACCTATACCAAAAACAAAACGAACGTCCTCTTAACTATGTTTTAACAACTAAATACACAACAAACTCAACTTTACTGCCATAATCAGCAATTAAAGTAATAGATGTGTGTGAGAGTGAGTTGAGTTACTCAAACCAAAGTACACTTAAAGAAAAGCCATAACCATAAGTAAAAAAAAGTCATGCTTGAATAAACAGTTTATATAAGATCTAAAGTTGTATATAAGCTATTTTGATAACAAAAGATAAGATAAACCCTTAGGGCAAGATTCAATTGACTTATTTAAATTTATCTACTAACTTAAGTTTAAGTTTTTTCAACTTATTTCCATAAGTTGTCCAAGAAAATTCATAGGATATACAAAAATAATTAAACTTTATTCTATCTTTTGTTATAGGAACAACTTATATAAAGCTTGTCAATATAAGTGCTTGTGCTATAGATATAGGTCTTCTTTTAAATTTAATCAAGGAAGCATTAATAAGTATAGTACATGTTATAGGGCTCCATAAGCTTTACAAACATTCTCACAAGTATAAATCCAATTTAAATGAGGTCAAATAATAAGAAAGACTAACAAATGTTTTGAAACAGAATGAAATGATGATTTTACCATGTCATTGCTGACCCGAAGCTTTTATTTATTACTATCATTGGGAGACATATGAGGGTGAGAGTGAGAGTGAGGATGAGGAGGCCAATCCCTATGATGCATCATGTTAAACGGATGCGACCGGTACGAAGAAGAACCGGAAGGAGGATGCAAAGCCATTCCCATATGCCCATGCGGATGTGGCGGCATACCGATTAAAGGCATAGACATCATGGGCGGAGGCGGCGGATACGGCATAGAAATCGTAACAGAATGATGCGATTGCGAATTCCCATGTCCATTAGATTGCGAATGAGAATGAGCATGAGAATTCACAGCAGATGCAGATTCGTGCAAACTCTGAGGAACAGGAGTAGAAGCAAAAAGATGATCAGAAGAAGAAGGAGCGTCGTTCGAAAGACCTTGCATCCTCTTCAAATAAAGGCGATACTTCTGTAAATGACTAGCAACATTCTCCCGTGTTAACCCTTCGACATTCATCAACTGCATAATCGTTTTCGGAACCGCGTTTTTAATCCCTAAATGCGCCACCACGTCCACGAATCTCTTGTGAAGCTGCGGAGTCCACACTAAACGCGGCCGTTTTAGCGTCGTCTCTGTTCTAACCGCCGAATCCGCTTCCTCTGTAACCGAATCGATCTTCCGGTGCTTTCGCGAATCCGAACCGGAACCGTCCCGATCGGTTTCCTCTTCCATTTCTTCGTCTTCTTCGAGAGGCGGCTCGTCGTGGTGATTTGTTCCGCCGCCGCGGAGGATAGAGAGAGTGTTGCGGGAGGCGCGGTTGACGTCGACGAGTGTGCGGTGGGGCTCCGGGGAGATTCTGAAGGCGGAAGCTAGCTCCGGCGGGATCAACGCCATGGTGAGAGGAGTGAGATCGTGAATGGTGGGTAGACCCTTTTCCCACTCCGATACACGCTCTTCGTGTGTTTGTATCTCTTCCCCCATTCACTTGTTCTAACCGTTTCAACAAATTGTAATTTAAATAAAAAATTATATAAATTTTAAAAACTGTGTTTCCCTTTGAATTTGGATCCAGAAATCCAGAAAGTCAACCGGGTTGGGTTGGATGAATGAAGAAATGAAATTGAATTGTAAAGATGAAAGATGAAAACAGAATAATAATAATAATAATAAAGAGAAAGAGAATCTAGATATTTTCTGAGTGTGTTTTTGGGCAAACACATGAAAAGAGACCAAACAGAGAAGAAAGAACAAAGATAGGAGTAATAATGAAGGAGGAACTGAAGTGAGTTTTTTAATTTTAATGATGATAATTATAATATTAATAATTTCGAGGAAATTGTGAGAAAAGTGATATAAAAAGTATAATATTTTATTCTTGAACCAAGTGGCGGTGCCAACGTGTACCATTTAGCTACATATTTTTGATCCTTCCATTTATAAATATCTTTCTTTTCTCTCATTTTTCTTCTTCTTCTTTTCTTTCCGATATAATCTAAAGGTGTTTGTAGTACAGTTTGATTTTTTTTTTTAAATAACGTTTCATATATAAATAAAAAAATAGATTTTTTTTTAAATAATTATTTGTTTTTTTAAAAAAATTAATAACTACATTTTCAAAAAATTTATCACAATAATTACTTTTCAAATAACAAAAATTTGTCATAAAAGAGACGCCACTCTGTGTGGTGCATACATAGAAAATAAAGAGGAGGCGCCACACTACTTGACTTGTCCTCCTACGTAATGTCGTGCAGTGTGGCGCATGCATGCATAGTTATAGAAGAGGCGCCACCTCGGAGAGCTTGACAATTGTATATGATTTTCTATAAATGCAATCACTGATCTTTATTTTTTCACACCATTTCTCACATCACTCTTAGAAAATGTCTTCCACTCTCTTGCCAAAGTTTTCACTAATCAAAAGAGATGCACATGTTATTTTTTCGGCGACAAAGCCTCCGATAAAGATCAAACTCTGGAACACACAGACATTCGAGCATTTTTAGAAACACTCGATTCGCTGGTTGAAAGGAAACATTCCTGAAGGTGAACATATCAGAAAAATTAAAAGATAAATTACAGTGAGGAATAAAAATAGAGTAAGCCGATCATGAAAAAAGGTGAGATGCGACGCTGATGTCATGATGATGATGTTTGGACCAGACGATATTATGTTGGTGGTTTTTATCACTTAGATATTTTGATGTGTTTGATTGTTTTGTCTGCTTATCATGTTGTTGTCCTGAGTTTGTCGTGTTGTAATCCAATGATAAATTGAACACGAAATGAAAACCCAAATTTAAATTGAAATTTCTTGCTTACAACAAATTAATTACTCCAGAAAGTTTTCTATAAAAAATTAGGTTGCAGAGCTAGACCCAATATTCAGACAATTTTTTTGATTGTGTCCGGGAAGACGACATGTACTGCATAATCTTATCATTTTGTTAGTCGTATCCATTTCAGTTCTAATACGAGTGTTATTGGGGCGCCCCTTTTTCTTCCGTCGTATTTGTTCATTGTGCCAAACAATATCCCCTTGATAAGCAGGCCAATAATCCCCCTTTGCCAACACAGAGAAGGTATTGATGTACACACTTAAAATGCTATTTAATGTGTAAACGGGGGATATATATCGTCTTGGATCCAACCGAACATTCAAACATGTCGCTATGACACGAGAGCAAGGCATGCGAAATGCTTGAAACTTTCTGAAATCACACCAACTTCTATCTAGTTCGACCCAATAATATCCCCTTGACCTCCCCTCATTATGATCCATTGTCTCTTGTACAATGAACCAACCTTTAATACGTTCAAACACAGTGACACTATGGGTGTTTTCTTTGGCATCCTCCTCGTTAAATGATTTCATTGTGCATTCACTAAACAACTGCCATGATTGTAACACTTCCCTCCATTTTGAACTTCTTATGTCGAATAATGACCCCAACCTAAAATATGTTCTTCTAACCAATGCAGTAATTGGTAGGTTTCAGATGCCTTTGAAGACAGAGTTCAATGACCCCACATTGCAATTTTGCTTCTAGTCTATCTTTAAAACGTGCAAAACTTGATTTCTTGTTTATCCAAAAGCGGATAAAATCAGTATTATGAAAATTAAAACTGAAGTTATCGCTATTGAACGTCTCACTGTTAATATGAGCAATAATACTATGATATTGTGAATGATCCATATGTTGAGGTATGTTTTTTATGAGTTATGGATGTATACCAGTAATGCGCCCTAAATAGACGCTTAAATAGACGGATGAAAGTATGAGAAATATAACACTAATGCACCATCCAAGATGGCTTCTCTTTAAACACTACAACACATGCGCTACCTAGGGTGGCTTGTCCTCTAATTTTTGTAAGCATACGCCACCTAGGGTGACTTGTCATGTGAACGATAGGCTTTCATGCATGCCATCTGATCACTACCACGCTGTAACTTTACATGCATGTAAAAAGGAACAAGCCATGTTGAATGGTGCCTTAGTGCAAAAACAAAAGGATGTGCCACCTAGGATGGCACCTACGTGTTAATTGAACGCAAAGCATTCTCACGTGAATGCATAGTATTTCTTCATATTTTCTTATAAATACATATAACATTCATCCTATATGTTCATCACAATCATAAATCACACACGGTTTCTTTTTTGAAACATCAACAAGAACACAAGAGTAATCAAGAAAAATGGCTCTCTTGACCATGGGTGATCAACATAGAGGAACTCTCAATAACATTGAAACCTTTGTAAGTTTATTTTCTTCAATACCTGTTATTTATCGACAAATTTGAGTTACGTAGTTCTTATGATTGTTATACTTAAATCTTATATTTCTTATACTTAATTCATGTTTTTAATAGGATGCTAAAAGATTTCGTTGTCGTGTCCATGAGTATGTTCCTTATGATGTACAAATTGAACCGTACTTACGACAAACTAGTTTTAGTCCGTTACTCAACATAGTGAATTACCATGTTGACTATAAAATTATTCTCGCATTACTGAAAAGATGGAGACCTAAAACTCACACCTTTCATCTTCCATGTGGTGAATGTACCGTCACACTAGATGATGTGTACATATTATTCGGTCTTCCGATCGATGATAAGGTTGTCAATGGCCGAGTCAACCAAGACAACACCATATGCGAGGAACTTTTGGGAGTCTGTTTATTTGAGAAAGGGTCTAAAGGCCAAGGTATTAATCTCCGTCTTCTTAGAGAATATCATAGTAGTCTCGTAATAACTGAAAACTCTACCGAGCAAGAAAAAATTGTGAAAGCTCAGTGTTATATAATGATATTATTTGGTCACTTTTTATTTCCTGAAACAACAGGTAATACTGTTAATATCATATATTTACCATTGTTAAGAGATTTTGATAAAATAAACACATATAGTTGGGGCTCAGCTGTTTTGGCCCATCTGTATAGTTCCTTGTGTAAAAACGCATCAAACGATAACTGTTCTTTCTATTCCTACGCCTTTTTGCTTCAGTCATGGTGCTGGTCGAGAATGCCGACACTCACTCCCCCGCAATACAAGGTCATTTGTCTTCCCCTTTTCTATAAAGTAAGATTATGAAAACACAAATTTTACATACTATATACTACAACTAACATTGAAGCTACCGGCAGAAAACACAGAGCCGCCACCGAACTTTATTTATCCCGAAGGAAGGGGAAATATCGATAAAACCACAAGGGAATGGATAAGATGGTCTTGCGACCAAGAGAAAGGGTAAGGGAGTTGGTTATGCGAGGGGAAGGTATTAGCACCCCTCACATCCGTGTACTCAACGGGATCCATTTTGTTTGTTTGTTTTAAAGGGTGTGTTTATCTACAACTATGCTTGCTTAAGGGGAAATGAATGGTTTTTATTATCGCGTTCGTGAGGGTTTCGCGACCCTTTGCCTACGTATCCAATGAAGGAATCAAAACACCGCAGTTCCTCTAAAAAACAGTTGGTTTGTTTGTGTTTTTTTAATGGACGGCGTTAACGCACGCATTCTAGCGATAAGCACGGCTGGTATCGCGATAGAACGAAGATAACATGCCCCTTGGGGAAGGTTTTGATTTGTTGAGTGTTTTGCAGGTTTTAAAATAAATTCAAGTAATGATTAAGTGTTTTTTTGGATTTTTGATTTGAATGATGAGTTTAATTACAAAATAAGAAAGAAAAAGAAAAGTTTTAAGAGGGAGACTAAAACCTAATTGTTGTTACGTACCAAATTGGACCTAATATCAAGTATTTGAAAGATAAATTTCTAACCTAATTAATTATCATTGTATGGTTTCTCTCCTAAGGTCTATTTCAACACGAAACAAACATAATGAATTTTAGTTCTTCATGGAATCGCTTAAGGAAACACGTCGTCAAGATCAAAAAATAAAAGAAAGAAACTTCTAATATAGTATTTTAATCATTTTTATCATGTAAGAAAAAAACTCATGCATGTGTGTGCGAAGTGAAATCAAATATAAACAACTAAATAATTAAATGATTTACACAAAATTAATGAAGTTAATTAAAAGTATTTAATAAAACTAAATAAAAATTAGTTAAATTAAATAAAATTGATAAATCCAATTAATTATTACATGAAAATAAAAAAAACTAAACAATTAAAGAAAAGAAAATAAAGAAAGAGAGAAACAAGGGTGCTGGGCCAAAAACCGGGTATGAGTCATCAGAGCCCTGGGGCACAAGAGGCCCACTCAGTTGAGTCCAAGAGAGTATTTTTTATTCAGTCTGCTTTTAGGTTGTCCAAAAAAAATGAAACAAAGAAAGGGCTCAGAACATTGATTCAATCCTAAAAAATGATAGTAAAACAAAAAATTGATGAAACTGTGGAATGGAGCAAAACTGTGATGACTAGGGTTAGGAATTACCGACTTCCTCTTTAGATGATTCAATCCTAAATACTCTCTCTCGCGGCACTCTCTTTCTTCGACCGATGCTTAA